TAGATCTGGTGACACAAAGCTTGTATTTAAAAACAAAAAACACTTTTTTCACTGTTATAGATTGAATAGCAGTTAGTTATCTTCAAGCGGGTGTCAGGCCTGCAGCCTGTGCTCTGCACAACTGTGCCAGTGCACATTGCCACTCATATCTGGTCTCACAGTAGCTTGCACGCATAGTACCACCAATCCCAACAAAAATGACAGGCAGAGGCAGGCCACCCCGCAGGGGCCATCGTGGTCGTGGTGCTGTGATTCCCTTTGGCCCTAGAATAATGCCCAGTTTTCAGAGGCCACGTACCCTGAACTTGAAAAGTTCCGAGGACATAGTTGACTGGTTAACACAGGACACCCAATCTTCTACAGCCTCCGCTCAGAACCTTGACGCACCATCCTCCTCCAGCTTAGCTTCAGGCACCTCTCAAGATACCACTCACCCGCCTGCCGCCACCACCAAACTAGCACCACAGCCGCTTCAGTTGGTATGTCAGAGGAGTTATTCACACATCCGTTTGAAGAAATCAGTGATGCGCAACCATTATTGCCACAGAGGATGTAGATAACAGGATATGTCTCAGGCAGGCAGCATTACACACATGGACGTACGGTGTGATGATGATGATGATGTTGTACCCGCCAAGCGTTTCCTTTGCTGAGTTGTCGATACAAGTGAAGCGGGGAAGCGACGATGCGCCCATGGATGTCACGTGGGTGCCCGCTCGTCAAGAAGAAGAAGAACAGGTGAAAGTTCAGATGGGGAGACAGGGAGTGAGGAGGAGACGAGTTGAAGCAGGGAGGTCAAAGTTTAGTATTAGTGGCACAGTCAGACAGCATGCATCGACACCGGGTCAGGCCCCATTAGCACGCTAATCAACGTGCGATGCTGTGTCCACCACCAATGCCGCCATTGCAGAGCTCAGCAGTGTGGGAATTTTTGTGCGTCTGCCTGACAACAGCGACATTTGCAACCTGTGCCAAAAGAAAATGAGTCGTGGGAAGTCCAACACCCACCTAGGTACAACTGCTTTGCGTAGGCACATGATCTCACATCACAAACGCCTATGGGATCAACACATGAGTACAAGCAGCTCGCCTACTCTAAGCAGCCAGCCTCCTCCTGGTCCAGCATCTTCAGCCACGTCAGCCACTGCTGTCCTCCTTGTCCTCTCTCAACCATCCGCCACTCCGCCTCCCGCCTTGAGCAGTTCACGCTCATCTTCCCACAGTCATGTGTCTGTCAAGGACATGTTTGAGCGTAAGAAGACAATGTCAGAAAGTCACCCCCTTGCCCAGCGTCTGACTGCTGGCTTGTCCGAACTATTAGCCCGCCAGCTTTACCATACAAGCTGGTGGAGTCTGAGTATGCTCTAAAAATTTGTAGCTATTGGGACACCGTGGAAGGTATCGTAAATTACTTTTCTAGTGCTGCACCCCCAACCTGTACCTTCAATTGTGCAAAAGGAAGTAATAGCACTTGGCAATACGGGGCAAGGTCCATTTGACCACTGATACCTGGTCTGCAAAGCATGGTCAGGCAGGTATACCTGGCACTTCGCGCATTGGGTAAACCTGTTGACTGCTGCCAAGCATGGAATGCATGGCTCTGCAGAGAGTTGGTACACCGCTTACCTAATTTGCAGGCAGTCCTGCTGCCTCCTCCTCTACTCCTCCTACTCCATCCTCTTCCATAACCTTCTCGGCTGAGTCCTCTTCTGCTGCTGCGTCTTGCTCCACATCAACGGCACCCCCCCAGCTCCCCAGGTATTATTCCACATCCCGGATACGGCAGTGTCACGCCGTCTTGGGTTTGACTTGCTTGAAAGCAGAGAGTCACAACGCACAAGCACTCCTGTCCGCCCTGAACGCACAGGTGGAAAAGTGGCTGACTGCGCAGCAACTGGAGATTGGCAAAGTGGTTTGTGACAACGGAACAAATTTGTTAGCTGCATTGAAGTTAAGTAAGTTATCACATGTGCCGTGCATGGCACATGTGTGTAATCTGATTGTACAACGCTTTGTGCATAAGTACATAGGCTTACAGGACGTCCTGAAGCAGGCCAGGAAGGTGTGTGGCCATTTCAGGCGTTCCTACACGGTCATGGCTCACTTTGTCGATATCCAGCGGCGAAACAACATGCCAGTGAGGCGCTTGATTTGCGACAGCCCGACACGTTGGAATTCAACACTCCTAATGTTCGACCGCCTGCTCCAACAAGAAAAGGCCGTTAATGAATATTTGTATGACCGGGGTGCTAGGACAGCCTCTGGGGAGCTGGGAATTTTTTTGCCACGTTACTGGACGCCCATGCGCAATGCCTGTAGGCTCATGCGTCCTTTTGAGGAGGTGACAAATTTAGTCAGTCGCACCGAAGGCACCATCAGCGACATCATACCATTTGTTTTCTTCCTGGAGCGTGCCCTGCCAAGAGTGCTGGATCAGGCCGTAGATGAGCGTGAAGAGGAAGAGGGAAGAGTTGTGGTCACCACCTCCAGAAACAGCCTTATCAGCATCGCTATTGGACCTGGCGGCAACGCTGGAAGAGGATTGTGAGGAAGAGGAGCCGAGGAGTGAATGTGGCTTTGAGGAGTGAGGAGGAGCAAGACCAACCACAACAGGTATCCCAGGGTGCTAATCACCTATCTGGTACCCGTGGTGTTGTAATGCGGTGGTTGGGGGAAGAAAATAACCTTCATTGACATCAGTGAGGAGGAGGAACGGGAAATGAGTAGCTCGGCATCCAACCTGTGCAATGGGTCTTCTGGCGCTGTCGCGGCCTGTTGAGGGACCGCGATAAAAAGGCTGGAAGGAGAACTTAATTTGTACTGGGTGCCACTAGAATTCCCGGTATAAGCAGAAAGTGGGCGGAATACAATGAATTTACAACAAGTATGAAAGGATGCAGCATTTGCAAAATAAATTGAAAAGTATGCTTTACACAGCGTATAAGGGTGATGTCACAGCACAACGGGAATCTAACAGGGGGAGAGGTGGAAGTCATCCTCCTCCCATGACCACGCCGGCAAGGACAGGACGCTTTAGAGACGTGTTGTTGATGGAGGACATGCGGACCTTTTTAAGTCCTACGCATCGCCACAGCCCTTCGGGATCCACCCTCAGAGAGCGACTCGACCGACAGGTAGCAGACTACCTCGCCTTAACTGCAGATATCGACACTCTGAGGAGCGATGAACCCCTTGACCACTGGGTGTGCAGGCTTGACCTGTGGCCTGAGCTATCCCAATTTGCGATAGAACTTCTGGCCTGCCCCGCTTCAAGTGTCCTGTCAGAAAGGACCTTCAGTGCAGCAGGAGGTATTGTCACTGAGAAGAGAAGTCGCTTAGGTCAAAAAAGTCTAGATTACCTCACCTTTATTAAGATGAATGAGGGATGGATCCCGAAGGGACTGACACTGGGCGATACATTAGATTAAAAAAGGCCTGATGAGATGAGCTGCCTTGGGCTAAAAATGGTCCACACGCTGCTGTATTTTAGCCCTGAATGCCTGTTGACTTGCGTGACTGATCCGCCACCAACTAGGTTTCAGTCGCCATCTTTAGGGCACTTTCTACCCGTGAAACAAACATCATTATAGGATTGAATAGCAGACCAAAGCTGGTGCAAAGTCAGCCCTGTTGTACGCAGTACTCTGCCACGCCACAATCTCCTCTACCTCCTACTCATCCTCTTCCATAACCTCCTCGGTCCTCTTCTGCTGCTGCGCCTTTGCCTACATCAACGGATAGGGTGTAATGCGATTAAACTGATAACAGGCTTAAACACACCACTCACTCAATTGGTGTCACAATAGCTTGATTTAAAAAACAAATTTTTCACTGAGGATTGATATGAAGAATTACAGGTGTGTCAGCCCTACAGCGTGTACTCTGCCAGTACTGTGCCACCTCCTCTACTCCTCCTACTCCATCCTCTTCCATAACCTCCTCAGCTTAGTCCTCTTCTGCTGCTGCGTCTTGCTCCACATCAACGGATAGGGGGCGTAACAGTGATTAAACCGATAACAATAGTACTAAACACACCACTCACTCACTGGTGTCACAATAGCTTGGATTTAAAAACAAATTTTTTTTTTCCCTGTTATAGATTGAATAGCAGTTAGTTATCTTCAAGCAGGTGTGTCAGCCCTATAGCGTGTACTCTGCCAGTACGCTGCCACCTCCTCTACTCCTCCTACTCCATCCTCTTCCATAACCCTCGCTTAAGTCCTCTTCTGCCGTTTTCGCGCCCACCCACATCAACGGATAGGGGACGTAACAGTGATTAAACTGATAACAATAGTACTAAACACACCACTCCTATCTGGTGGCACATTAGATTGCACGCCCAGTGCCCCAAATTTGTTGTGATCTGTGAGTAAGGTAAACGGTTGTCATACAAGTAGGTTGCAGCTTTTTGAGGGCCCACACCACCGCTATGCACTCCTTTTCAATGGCAGTGAATATACTTCACTGTGCAAAAGTTTACGGTTTAGATAAGCCCCGGGTTGCTCGCCACCATCTGCTCCGACTTGGCTCAGTACTGCTCCCAATCCAAGCATAGAAGCGTCTGTATGGACGAGAAAGTGTTTAGTTGGATCAGGAGAAGAAAGTACAGGTGATTTAATGAGCGCCGTCTTGAGCTGTTGAAGGCCTGTTCACATTCTGGGGCCCATACTACTATCTTGGGGAGGTTTTTACACGTTCCTATATGGCACTTACTGGGCTTTAGGGTCAGTCCGGACTCCCTAATCCGGTCTATTACGGCTCCTATGTGGGTCAGGTGTTCGCGCCAGGAGCTGCTAAAAATGTCTATACCATTCAAGTAGGTGTGTATCAGTGTGTATCAGGGATCCTTAGGACAGGTGTCAATCCATATCTGCCAAGTGACCCTATGTTGGGGTACATTCCCTATTCTGATCTGTGTCAGTGTGTATCAGGGGCTCTGAGGACAGGTGTCAATCCATATCTGCCAAGTGACCCTATGTAGGAGGAACAGTCTCTATTCTGCTCTATGTCAGTGTGTATCAGGACCACTGATAGGAGACGCGGAAGGTATTAAACTGGTCAGAACAATACTAAACACACCACTAATAAGGTTTCTCTCCTGTATGGCTCCTCAAATGATGCTTAAGATTAGAAGCGGCTGAAAAGCATTTCTCACACAGGTATTAAACTGATAAAAATAGTACTAAACACTCCACTCCTATCTGGTGTCATTAGCTTGACCGCGCAGTGCCCCAAATTTGCAGTAAGAGGACCGACCAAGCCTCTTCTTCCATCTCCCTGTTACAAAAATCAATGCCGTGTACACGACCACTGATAGGAGACGGGAAGGTATTAAACTGATCAGAACAATACTCAAACACACCACAATTCCTATCTGGTGTCACATTAGCTTGACCTACAGAGTGCCCCAAATTTGCAGTAAGAGGACCCAATTCGCTTCTTCCATCTCCTGTTACAAAAATCAATGCCCGTAATACACCACTGATAGGAGACGTGAAGGTATTAAACTAAACAATATAAACACACCATCATCTGGTGGCAATAGCTTTAATCGCCAGAGTGCCCCAAATTTGGAATTAAGAGGACCACCGCCATCTCTTCCATCTCCCTGTTACAGAAATCACTGCCATATCCATACAAATTCTGTACAGAATGTCCAGGGATAGTTTCTTCTAGGAAATGTTGTCGCCTGGTTGGTTCCAGTAGAGGTGACTCTGCTCGGGTCCCAGGTGTAATGCCCTAAAATGGCTGCCATATACACGGCCCACTGATGGGAGACGCTGAAGGTATTAAACTGATCAGAACAATACTAAACACACCACTAATAAGGTTTCTCTCCTGTATGGCTCCTCAAATGATGCTTAAGATTAGAAGCGGCTGAAAAGCATTTCTCACACTCCGAACAAAAATATTTTTTTTTAACATTCTCTCCACTTTGAACGAAATGACGTTTGGGAAGAGATTAACATAATTAAACACAGGCAGTAAAAATACAGTTTTTAGCCATACCCTGTAACTTTAAAACTACACATCCCATCTTCATAATTACATATTTGGAATCAGCACACTTAAAACATAAACATAACCAAAAAATCAGCCAAATCCATCCAGGGGTTAAAAAGTTAGCTGGAGGTCCCTTTATGACCGACGCAAGCACATTTTCCTGCCCAAAACAGTTCCATAGATTTGGGCTTGTGAGGTCGGTCTATTTCAGGCTGAAAAAACTACTAAGTCCCATCACGAATGGGACTTAGTCTTTCATGCTGCATTCAAGTCCCACTTAGTCTCTGCAGCTGAAATAAGGCTGAAAAAAACGGCTGAAAAAAGACTAAGTCCCATCGCCGAATGGGACTTAGTCTCTGCAGCTGAAATAATTTCCCATTTACTGAACCAAGTGGGAAATAGCAAGGCAGGCACAAAGGGTTTGCACCAGGTCTGGGGACACAGGGGACACCGTCTTAAAGGGGCCGTGTCCCCAACAAGTCTGGGGACACGGCCTTAAAGGGGCAGTGTCCCAATCTTCCTGATGTCCCAAAAAAGGTGTTTAAAGGGCCAGCACCAGTCACATAAAGAGTCCATAAGCCCCAATATGCCCACCGACAGTCTTAAAGGGCCATACACACCAAATAAAAGTGCATACATTTTCACAATCTCCCAGGGGCCATAGTCATGCGGGAGGAGGCTGGCAAAGAGGCTTCTCCACAACCCAGGGAAACAGGGCAATTTGCCATTTAAAGGGCCCGTTACAAATAGCAGTTTGTAACAAGGTGTCAATCCATATCTGCCAAGTGACCCGATGTAGGGGGAACAGTCCCTATTCTGCTCTGTGTCAGTGTGTATCAGGGATCCTTAGGACAGGTGTCAATCCATATCTGCCAAGTGACCCTATGTAGGGGACCAGTCTCTATTCTGCTCTGTGTCCGTGTGCATCAGGGGCTCTGAGGACAGGTGTCAATCCATATGTCAAGGTGTCAATATGTCATATGTCAGGTGTCAATCCATATTGATTGTGATTTAGGAATGTTAGGTGATTTCTGCCCTTTATGGATTAAAACCAGACTCTGTATCAACTGTGTAATTTTCCATGGGAGTTTTGCCATGGATCCCCCTCCGGCATGCCACAGTCCAGGTGTTAGTCCCCTTGAAACAACTTTTCCATCCCTATTGTGGCCAGAAAGAGTCCCTGTGTGTTTTAAAATTCGCCTCCCCATTGAAGTCAATGGCGTTTCGGGCGGTTCGCCGGTTCGCGAACATTTGCGGAAGTTCGCGTTCGCCGTTCGCGAACCGAAAATTTCGGGTTCGCGACATCACTAGTGATAAGGTACAATTTCTAGAAGACAGCCTGGAAGACTTGAACAACCGTTCTCGCAGAAATAACATTAGGATAAGGGGCATGCCAGAATCGGTAGAGACGGACGCCATATTGCCCACGCTACAGGACATATTCCGGTCCATGCTCCCAAACTCCTCAGACCAAGAGAAAGAGTTAGATAGGGTGCATAGGGCCCTGCGGCCCCTGTCCCTCATCCATCATTCCCAAGGGACATCATCGTCCGCCTGCTACATTTCGCTACTAAAGAAAAGCTAATGGCAGCGGCCAGAACCACACAACCAAAACATGGGACCCACACGCTGGCCTTCTTCCAGGACCTGGCTCCATCCACACTGAGGAAACCCAGAGACCTAAAACCCCTTACCACAGCACTGACCCAAAAAGGACTGAGATACAGATGGGGCCATCCCTTTAAAATGCAAGTCCACATGGGAGACCAAAAACACGTTCTATACCACCCGGCCAAAATGGAAGAATTTGCAGCGACCCTGGGGCTACAGCTTATCACTGGGGTTCCAGCAAAAGACCAACGCAACAACAACGAACCCAGAGAGACCCACAACACCGACCACAACCAACAAATACCCCGACAACAAGCTAAGAAAAGACCCCCCCCCAACAACCGGGACTGCCACCCAGGCACTCACGACCTGAAACTGGCCCCCTTGGCCGCTGGACTCTCTCTCTGATAAGCGAGACTTATCACGGAAAACAAAACAATAACTCAGGCCTGTATACCCTGAAATGCTCTAATATTTACATATGTTACTGTTATAATGTTAATATGAAGGTTCACAAGCTGTTGACCCCATGCTGTAATTATCCCAAACTATAAGATAGGGCCCAAACCACCCACACCTCAGGGTACCCTCAACCCCTCCCGCTATTTGCCACTGTGGTGGTGCAGGTTAGACCGGCACTGCAACTAAGCCCAGGCTAAGCACTATTCAATTAGAAGGTAAAGGTCCAATCCACCAACTTGGCAGACAGACCCTCCTCATGCACGGGCCCACGCAGCCACCAGACTCCCACCATGAAAAATAACACAAACCTCTAGAAACTCAAAATGTCACAGGCTACTATGCCCTGAACCATTAAGCTACCCTAATATACTACGGAATTAGTGTTGGTTAGCACGGCGAATAGGGGCTACCCTAAATGGGGAATCAGGGCCATAGGGGAGCCGGACATTAATGGGAAACGAGAGGAGGGGAGTAGGGGGGGAGGGGGTGGGGTGAGGGAAGGGAAGGGGGGGACATAACCTTGCTATAGCTAGGACTAAACGTTTCATCCTATTGTTGCCATTGTGTTTTTTGTTTTGGTTTGGTTTTTTCTTTTTTCTTTTCTTTTTTCTTTTTTTTGCCTAATCTTAATGTCACTATTGTTTTTCCATAAAGAAAAGAAAAAAAAAAAGAGGAAAAACACCGTAGGTACCCCCCCCAACAACTAACCGACCCCCACATTTACTAATATCCAGGGGTATGATGTCAAGACACAACACTGACACCAGGCTGATGGCCATCTGGCTCCTGCTAGCACTGGCTCCCCTAGACCCAGAAACAACCCATAAAAGGTAGTGACAATTACTAACATGCATAGTCTCTTCACAGATATCCGAAAACCTTACCACCTCCTTGTCTCGGGCACTATCAAGACCCCCCCCAGGGACACCCAGCAGACAGTATATAGCGACCCGACAACACATGACAAATAAGGTAGCACACACGGCTCGGAGAGGACGGGAGATAAGGTCTATCTCCCCTCCAGACAGCTCCGACCTACCACACGCATCCTAACCACAGTAACCCCCACCACTGGAAGACTACACCTGCTCCCCACCACTGGGGCAACAGACCACCAAAGAGGGAAAAGGAATAGGTCCGCACCTAACCGCAGGTACCTATACCCCCTCAACCTCCGCCCCCTCTAGGCCTGGCAACCTAGGTATAAGACCAGGGGAAAAACCCAAACGGGAACCCTCTCCCACCCCCTTTTTTTTTCTTCCTCATCTAAAAGGCGAACTCCTGACCCCCCCTACACTAAAGGACTCAGCCCTTCCAGCGCAAGATAGGCCGCCAACTAACCAGCGCCCAACCTATACGTCCACCCCAGACCCACCCAAACCCCCCCCCTCCAATACCCTCCGGTATACATAATGAGACACCCGGCCACTAAACACTACGTATACCCTCAGCGTAGACCCATTCAAAAACACGACCGGACATTATGAGCACCAAAATGACATGCATTTCCATTAACTGCAAAGGTCTTAACAACCCAGCAAAGAGACACCGACTAATGAGATGGGCAAACCGCTCACACGCAGACATAATCCTGTTGCAGGAAACCCACTTTACAGTGACCAAACCCTTCCCTCTAATTAACCAACAATACCGGGAATGCCATATGGCAAACTCTCCCACAACTAAACAAAATGGAGTGGCTATCCTGATGCGGAAAACTTGCCCACTTAGCACTAAACAAGTTATAAAAGACCCACAAGGCAGGTTTATCATAATAACGGGACAGGCAGGACACAACCTATATGCCATCACCTCACTATACGCCCCAAACACCCCGGATAAAACGTTCTGGGATACTTTCCAAGCCAACCTAGCCCTAACCCCAGGCCACCTTAAAATCATAGGCGGAGACTGCAATGCTACGATGTCACCATCAACAGACAGACACAGAACAAGAAAACTACCAAACCCCACAACCAAAATAGACAAACTACTACAAGACTTCATGCTGCGACAGAGACTGGTAGACATCTGGCGACTACTCCACCTGACTACCAGGGATTACACATTTTACTCCCATCCACACAACTCGTATTCCCGCATTGACCTCTTTCTGACTTCACCCTCCCTCACACACATGACCCAAACGGTCAACATCACATGGTCAGACCACGCAGATATCACATTAATAATCAAGATCCCCGACGTAGCCAGACCATGGTCCTGGAAACTTAACCCCACACTACTACACAGCCCACTAACGACAGAAGCAATACGAACAGAACTAACAAATTACTTCACACTAAACACGCCTTCGGCGTCCTCACTAGGCATACTGTGGGCAGCCCACAAGGCAGTCATACGAGGCAAAATAATAAGCCTAGCATCACACCGAAAAAAAACTCAACTAGCCGAACTAGCGAAATCCCTCACAAACCTTAGGACCCTGGAAACAAGCTACAAACGAAACCCCACACAAGACATTCTCACGGAAATGACAGAATGCCGAAACAAAATTAAAGACTTCATGACTAAAGACGCGGCCAAAGCCATACAATGGACAAAACAGACTTACTACGAAAAATCCAACAAAGCTGACACCTTACTAGCCCGAAAGTTACAACGCAGGACAGATCATAAACGAATAGATGTAATACAAACGCCAGACGGCACCAAACACTCCATACCGACGAAAATAGGCGAGGTCTTCCAAAAATACTTTTTCACACTATACGACCATAGCCCCAACTTACGACAACATCCCGAAGAGACCAGACAATCAATAGACACATACCTACAGCAGATACCCCTACCGGCTCTAAAGACGGAAGCCATCTCCAAAATAAGCGAACCAATCATCATCGAAGAAATCGCCAAAGCCATCAAAAACACCAAGCCCAACAAGAGCCCGGGACCGGATGGCTTCACGGGACTCTATTACAAAACCTCCCACACCTCTGCAACCTTTTTAACTCAATTTTGCAGGGTAACCTCCAGACATTTTGAGAGCGAACGTGTGCCTTCTCCCCAAGCCGAACAAAACCCACCTAGACCTGAGCCACTATAGACCAATCTCACTGTTGAACGTGGACATAAAGTTACTCACAAAATTACTCGCAGACAGAATAAACCCCCACGTACATAAACTTATACACCCAGACCAAGTCAGCTTTATACCTTCCAGACAGGCATACGACAACACCAGACGGACCTTTGACCTCCTTTGGGCGACCTCACACCGTCGGATCCCCACCCTTTTCCTATCCTTAGACGACGAAAAGGCATTTGACAGACTGCTGTGGATTTTTCTCTTTGCCACCCTAGACAAATTCCAGTTCCCCGACTTGATCCTAAAAGCACTCAAAACCCTATACTCAACACCAGAGGCGAATCTCTTAATCCCAAACGCCCAACCCCCCGCATT